ACAGGTACAGCCAGTGTACAACGTGCCTGGGGGTCATGGCACAGGTACAGCCAGTGTACAACAGGTACAGTCGGTGTACAATGCGCCTGGGGATGACGGCACAGGTACAGCTAGAGTACAACATGCCTCGGGGTCATGGCACAGGTACAGCCAGTGTACAACAGGTACAGTTGGTGTACAATGTGCCTGTGGGTCACAGCACAGGTACAGCCAGTGTACAACACAACTAGGGGTCATGGCACATGTGCAGCCAGTGTACAACGCATCTGGGGGTCACAGCACAGGTAAAATCAGTGTACAATGGGTCTGGGGGTCACGGCATTTGTACAGCCAGTGTACAACGCACCTGGGGGTCACGGCACAGGTACAGCCAATGTATCACGTGCCTAGGGGTCACGGCACAGGTAAAACCAGTGTACCATGCACATGGAGCCAGGAGCTAAGAACCGTGCTCAGGGGCCCACAGACGTGTGACCATCCTACTCAGCAGGAGCTTGAACGGATGATCTTCTGATCACAGGCACAGAGGCTTAGCCCGCTGAGCCAGACAGCACCTTACACTTACATACACCAGTCATACAGTACAATCAGGTTTTTAGGCCAAAACCCTATGAACATGCTGGAATTTCCTGCACCTCATGAAAAGAAGAATATTGAAACAAATAAACCCATGCAGAATATAATGAGAATACAGTAACACAAATAGTACTATAGCATCCATGGGCACTGAGACGAAAAGAAACATCTGTTACATCTATTACATTGTAACTGCGGTCATATTAATAAATACACAGAGTTCTGAAATATGTAAATGAAAGTGGCTCCGGCTCAGTGTTTTATTAATTCCCAGCTGGGCGTTTTCTTGCAATCAGCTGCCTCTCTATAATCTGGCTGCAGTTGGAGGGCAGAGTAAATCTCCTCCTGTTTCAGGCAGCAGATCACACCCGGCGGAAAATGGCTGAGGAGATACCTGCATGCTGGTAGCACGCCAGAGGGCAGATGCTGAAAAGTCTCGCAACGGTGAGACAGAAATGACTTTGACCAGGAAGTCTGAGAAGGGGGTGAAACCGGCAGCGGGTCTCGCATACGGATATTGCTGCAGGAAGGGAAGGAAGAGAGGAAAACGGACAGGCAAAGTCGCGTGTTCCCCAGCTAATAGAATGCTGGAGGTGTTGGACTCTGTAATGAGGCACAATTAGCAAGCAAAATGCCTTTAATCCATCCTCGTGTTCGGCTGTAGTCAACATAAAGCAAATACGAAATGATTCTGCATTATTTTTACCAGGCTGCTGAGACTGCAATTTATTAACAGCCAGTGCTGTGGAATATGGTTATTTAAATGTACTCTAAATTTTCACACTGCAGCTCCTGCTGGCCTTACTATGAGATCTACTTACTGCAGTCATATCTCATCTTCTTTTTTTTTCCCCATAAATTACAGCACACTTTGTATGATGTGCCTTCAGTCTACCCATTCTCTGTATCTGCTCACCGAATGCAAGGACACTGTGAGATCTCAACTCATCCCAGGAAACAGAGATCATTTACAGAAGCAAGCATATGCTACGGACAAATCAGAGACACCAATCCAATCTCCTGGCTTTGGACCATCGGAGGAACCTGGGATAGAAGACCAGACCGAAATCCATGTGAATTATCTACATCTTTATAGTTGGCGATGCAAAAATATGCAGAAGGAGTCGAAAATGCTCTTTACACGCAACCTGCATTCTGAGCGAGATATTGGGATGACAACATAGCAGTTCTACCGGGCTTCGACTCAGCAGTAACTATTAGCAGATACACTGTCGTAATGGGGTTCGAATTAAAGTGGAGCAAAGGCAGGCTGTGGCTTCATGCAGGGGTGAGCACCCGTCCCACTGGGAGCTCAGACGCAGCCGGGGGCAGGGCAAAATCCGAGCAGCAGCCATTTCTGAAGATGTAAATGTTTGCACAACACATTAGGGAGGCCCAGAAATTCAACTAGACCCACAGTTATGTTTAAACTTTTATTTTTAACCACCATCCCATTTCCTCACATCATTAACTTAAACTAGAAAAATGTCGACTGTGTGCCAGAGACCCCTTCTTCAAACTGTGAGGTGAGAGTTATTAGACGTCAGCTCGGATTAACCCTGAGCAGCCATTCAGCTGAGCAGCTGTCTACACAAGAGGAGCCTAAACAGACACTCTCTGCCCTGCTAACAATGTGTCGATTTTGTCGTCTGAAGAATAAATGGCATTGGGGAAAGTTTGATATTGGGGTGGGGGGGGGGGGCAACATATTAATTTAAATACAAATTTCTGTTTTTTTGAAGGACGAATGAAGTGGAATTACACCCCCGCACACACACACACCCGGTTCCTAAGCCCCTGTGAAGAATGTTCTAAGACTTCCATCCATCCATTCATCTTCTAACATCTTGGTCAGAGTCACAGGGACGCTTGGAAACACTTTTTCGGTAAAACGTTCCTCCTGAATGACGTGTCTGTAATATTACACAGCCAAACCAGTGCTCAAGGTCCAGTGTGCGACATTAGTACAGAGGTATTATTTACAACCTGGACTAAATGGTTAAGTCACTATACTTCTCATTGTTTCTTACCATGTTACTCTCCGAATATTTCAATTAAACATACGGTGTTTGTCATACAATGCATTATGCTTTTTGCAGAATTTAACTGAGGAAAACAAAAGCTACATGATAACATATTGCCACCCATCCAGCTATATTTTCAGAGAATAAAGGGTTCTCACTATTAAATTTCCCCAACCCTTCAATAAAACGGTTCACTTGGTTCAGGATTATTTTTAAATGGTTTGTCAGTAATGTATGCGGTTGAGAAACACTTTAATTGACAGTCCTTCAGATAGCATAACAACCATTGTGCGCACGCATCCACACACTCAAGCACTATATCCAAACTGCACATCCAGACTGTCCTTTTTCTGCTACTCGTTGGGGGTGCAGCTCCGGTCCACTGAAAAGAGGCCCGTGTTATCAAAGCGGGGTTCTAACAGCTGAGTAGATGTTTGCGGCACAGGAGGGCAGAGGTCCCGTCAGCAGCGACAACACGGCACACCCCTTGTGGAAGCTTAGGCCCCCGCACACTGAGAGAGAAAGCGACAGGCGCTGCTGGAAAGATCGGGTTCTTTTGTTCAGGAGCATTCGCGTCATCTGTGCTTTCCTTTCACGGCCACCCTCTGGCCTATCAACAGCCAGAGGCACATGGGGGTCAGGCCGGCTTCATGCTGAATGGGGCCATCGCAGGACCTCTCGCTCATCACCCCCCCAACCCCCCAGGAGAGCAGGTCTACATGGATGATGAGCTTGCTCCAGATTAGGACAGCGGTGCGTGGGAAATCAGAGCCACATCTTCGCATGTGTTTATTTGTAGGTGTCTGAATGACAATCACTGGCACTGTGGTTGGTCGGTTTGGGCACTTGGTCATAAATCACTGAGGAGTCTATCCAGACTGCTGACTCTGTGATCAAAGGTAGATTTACATTAATATTTCAAAATTGAGCCCAAATTGATCAAAGATTTAATTAGGGGGGAGGGTAGAGGTCAGCCCAGTCAGCCTGAAATAAAGCTGTATGTGATCTAGGCTGGATTTGTGTTTTTACATCGATTACATTTTGTCAGTACAAAACAAAGCCATTTCAGAAAACAGATTGCATTACATCATAAGATATACAGAATGTGACACAGGTAACACAGATATTTAGATTATGATACGCATTAAGTACCAAAGCCAAGGCATGGGTGGGTGATACATTTTAACGGATTTTAAATCCATAAAGTTTCAAATATATCTTGTTACATCCATTACGTTATAGCTGATGTTACTGAGCTCTTATTTGCTATCATCAGTAACCATGGGGATGCAGCACAAAGGCGAAATGTGCGGGGATGAGATGAGAAACCGGCGTCCTTGGTGCGCTACGGCACGGCGCTGTCTATGTGCGGCAGCGTTAAGACGTTAAGCCGCTTCCATTAGCTGCGCGTTTGAGCTCCCCTGCTGGAAATGTCAGCACAGGTCTGTCGTCCTTTAGAGAGCAGAGACACTGCCACAAGTTTTTTTTAAAAAGGAAACCATAAAAGAGAACAAAAAAAGAAACATCTTCGTGACATAAGTGACATTTCAGGCTTTGCCGCACTTTCGGGCGCTTGCTACAATTATACCCCTATTTGAGGGAAGTTGAATGTGACGGTGCCATTTGCTTCCCCTCAGCACTAAATCAGTAGGTGTCTAATAAGGCCAACAACAGGAGGCTGATCAGCACCCCCTATAATGAGAGGAAGATAAACTAGCATCAGCAGTTCAGACACATCTGTGCTTTTCCTTTCTGTAAAGGTTTAATGGCGAGATGCAGAAGTCTAAATTTGCTCCTGGAATGTTTAATGCGACAGCTCCTCCCCTCGCTTCTCTTTGAGAGCAGAGTCACACAATGTATTATTTTCTCCTTTGTTTTTCCTTGCTTCCAGTTTTCAAAGGCATGTTTTTATTCCTACGCAATATAGCCAGCCGTATATTTAACACCAGGCTGAAAATGCAAGCAAGAGAACCGCAGGTATTTGGCCACAGAAAGCATTGCAAATGACGGCAGAAACGTCTGTGTACCGAATGTCCACGTACAAAATCTTTCAAATTTACTTTATTTGGATAGTGTGGGTGCTGTTTGCAGTCAAATGAGTCCAAATGAAACTTGAAAAAAAGTAAACAGTAAAAATGAGTCTGTGCCAATAATATGTTCACATGGGAGTGCGGTGAATTTCATATTGTCATCCCAACCGTTAAACGAAACTAACTGTGTGATCATATTTCCATCGTCTTCAGAGTGAAGGTATAATGAGCAGTTCGCTCTTTGCCAGGGATTAGAAAATAACGTGTGTATTTCAGTTTTCATTCAGGGAGTAGGCAAAGAGGCAGTCAACGAGAAGCGGCTTCTGGAATGGCCGTTTTTTGGATGGACCGACAGGGGGCGCAAGGACGCGCTTTTTTAAAAGCCCTTCAGCCCGAGGATGTGGGTGGATTTCGTCTCCTTCATACGCCTTTAGACCCAGACCAACTTTCACTCGAAGGACGCAGGAGCCCATAAGAGCTTTTGAGACATATATTCCTTGCAAGCGAAGGCTGTCCGTTTGGAATGGGAAGATGTCCGCGAATGAAACATATGTGTGCCGGCCTTTTAAACTGATCGCTCTACTTTGCGTATTTCTCGCCCTGAGTCTGGATATAGTGGCGCTGCTCAGTCCCGCTTGGGTCACCGCGGACCGCTACTCTTTGTCGCTGTGGGGGTCTTGCTGGGAAGAAGCTGCTGTCTGGAATTGCTTGTCAACTTTAAGGACTGGTAAGATGATGCGATTGCTGGGGAAAACGTTGAAAACCGCGATCGGACTGTGGTGCCATTGAATTACACCAGTTTACGCCTTGTTTGTATCTGTCGTCCGGTGTGCTTGTTGCTTTGTATCAGAAACTTTATGTTTGTTGGAAAAAAATAATAGTATGTTGATGATCAGCAGTCGCTTTCTCTTTGTATGTTTTGATCAAGCGCAAGTTAGACTGTAGTGCATGTTTCGTACAGCTGTCATTATCAGTGCGTAACTGTAAGCACTGATGTTTTCACCCGTAGGAAAAGACATATTTTGCAATAAACTTGAGCTACCATGGATGCCGCTCATGATTAAAAATTCTTCCAAATTTTTTATTGGTATTCAGGAAGAATTTTTATTTGTGAAAGATTTAATAATTGAACTGCCACGTACTACGCCCAACTATAATATATTAGGCTACTTTGTGTTACATAAAATAATTATTTAGACTACGAGATGTCGAAATAATGTAGTAATTATTCTTCTGGTGAAACTGAAGTCAAGTTGAAATATCCACAAATCAATTTAAATCGAGTTAAAACTGTTCAGGTGTATGGTTTCTGTATTATATTGGGAATTTATGTTATGCATGTACATGTGACGGCTTTGTACGCGTCTTTTGAGTACCGTGTCGTGCTTCGTGTGTTTAAGGCTATGCGACGAACCATAGGGGGCGCTGGACTGCGCGTACACCATTGTGCAGGGATTTGCAGCGTCGTTGACGAGCTGGTTTACTGGGATAGTGCCATCTGGCTATTGCAGCCTTCTAGCCTAACAGACAGCTCCTGAAGTGTGCTGAAAGTTTGCTCGAGGTATGACACAGCGGGAGCTGACATTGGGAGCACGAATAGTTACTGCCGCATTAGGCGCATATTCTGAATGCGCTCATTAAGGCGCGGATTTGATAATGGGCTGTTGTAAATCAGTTATATGAGAACAGTTAGGCTTTACTGTGAGGCAGATGGTGCAGGACGGGTCCAGTTTTCTCACATTACTCTGTAATCAGGCTCCATTCCGTGTGGATGGGTGTGGTTTGCTCCACTCCAGCTATCCAGTTGCCACAGCGGCACACATCTATTACATTAATGGTCTCTGGAGTGAGAGGCACGCTGGCTGGGAGATCGGTGGGCCAGCGTTTCAGGCCTGTCACCGCGCTCAGAAACAAGGCAGACTCGCTCACTGTGTCCTTCAGGGGAACCGCTGCTGATTGGCAGAGCTGTGGGTGGGCAGCACTCCTGTAGAACCCCTCCCCCTGAGAAACATGGCTAACATAGACACAAGGCACATTAAACAGAAAACACTGACTTTCCTTTAGCCTTTCGCAAAGTCTGTGACTCTTGAAGGCACAATTCCATCACATTTGTGATCTTTCAAGGAGTTAGTAACTTAAACTCATCACTGTCTCGTTGGTTGAAACGTTTGTGTGTGTGTGTGTGTTTGCACCTGTAAACTTTGTGAAGCTTTTGCTGTGTTCGTTGCCTGTCCACCAATGTTCTGTGTTTCCTTTGACTGCCATAGAGGGTCGGAGCGTGGATGCGGTTCTCCTGCAGCCCGGGAAATGGGGTCAGCAAACCGTAGGGGTATTACATAGTGCGTATACCACAGCAAGCTGATGAAGCGAGGCGTAAAGTAACAATCTGCCCTTTTAAGAATATAAAAAATGTAAGACGAGCGGAGTCCATTCTTTGAAAAGAACAGTACGCAGTTCTGAGTGAATCCAGGGGACTGTGCTTTGGCTGCACAGCTACAGACAAACTGCTGTTAGTGTAAACAACTGTGTACTTTGCTCCAGTCGAAGATGGTCCTGCTTAGCTTTCATTCACAGCCCCAGCAAGCTCTTCTACTTTTTAAAAATCTGTATATTTGGATTTCCCCCCCCCCTCCTCCCCACCAAATCCGACAGTCATCTTTTCTGAAGAATAGAAATTTTGCTCTTCTAACATGCCCTAATATAGCGATCCATTCCTGCAGTTCCTCGCTGAACTCACTCTAAAGGAGCAGAGGAATGGACTAACCCTGTGACTGATGGGAGTTTGGGATGTGGGGGTGGGGGGGAGGGCAGTGAGCGAAGACAGGTGGTATGAACTGGGGTTCTCTTGTTTCTGAGTGGTGGATTTCAGGTTGCCAGGGGTGAATGGGGAGGGGCTTGGGAATGTGTCGGGGTTTGCAGTCGTCTGTTTCGGGGGTAGGTGTGGGGGGTTGCGAGCTTTTGAGAAGAGGCAGAAGGGTCATTCGGGATTATAAGGGGGCATATGGGGAAGGACAATGACATTCTGCAATGCACAAAGGGGCCCAGCCTTTAAAAAGAGAGAGAGTGTGACAAATAGGGCAGCAGGGAGACATGGAGGCTACAAACCGCTTGAGTTCAAACCCTCGTGTTTTAGCCTCAGTGTAATAATTCATGCACGACTGCGTTTTTTCTGGGATATACTTAGGTGGGGCATGGAGCGGATGAGCATCCAGCTGACGGTGTGGGACAGTGTCCTTTGTAGGTGCCCGCTAGCGTCCTATTGGATGTTCCCGCACAGAGCCTGACCACTCCTGTGTCTGCAGATTGGCAGGTGGCCACGGCGGTGCTGCTGCTGGCCGGAGCCGCGGTCACGCTGGTCGCCTTCCTCATCGCCCTCATCTCGCTCTGCAAGGGGACGCAGTGGAACCACTATCGCACTGTCGCCATCTTCCTCTTCACTGCAGGCAAGTCGACCTCTTCAGACCCCCCTCTGATGAACATCTCCTCGCCTCCCCTCTTTCTATCTTCACCTAGGGGCCTTGTGTTGACTCATTCGGTTGTCAGCAGCTGCTCGATCCCCCCCCCCCACCACCACCACCACCGCGCCCCCTTCACATTGTTCGTAGCACAATGCCTGGCTTCCTGTGACCTCAGGCAGTCAACTTCCTTTTCGGTGGTTGAGTGTATTTCCCCGTCCGGCACACATCCTGCACCGCTGACTACTGGATGCCGCGCTGATGGACACTCTCTTCCCTCCCGGGCCTCATTAGCCACAGAATAAGACCCCTCATCCTTCGTATAAGTGACAGTCCAGTGACAGACAGGCCGGGATCCCGCAGGGCAGAATGTTTACGGCTCGCGGACCCCAGCGACTCTTCTGCCGTGTAAATTTAGCAGAGGCCTTCACTCTGAAGCGTCGTAATCGGCACGCTTGGGATCCCCACAGTCCTCGAGGCGCTGTCCTCAACCTTCTGAGATCTTTCTTAATAAGTACAGGGATGTCGTTCACATGAAATATCGGGGGTGAGCTTCAAAAAGGTAAAGGACGCTGAGGAAGCTAAGTACTCCCTGGTGGACACGGTTTTCCCAAAAACTGTGCCCATCTTCTGTGGTCAGAGGACTTTTGCGGTGTCCTCGCTCTGTTCTTTTAAACCGGGGATTTCCATCCTGGAAGCCTGAGGAGCGAAAGCTGACGAGTCGATCATCTGGCTCGTTGTGTAAATGGAAAGGCATGCGAATTCGGTTGGGTTCAGCCGAGCCCACCCTGCATTAGCTGCCCATCCTACATTCATCTGAAAGGTCTGAAGGACAGTGTGTTCAGGATCTGGCCGTTTCGCATATAACGTACAAATGCCGGCGGCTGTGTAGGTCGGTGTCTCCCAGTGATCGTTTATTTTCATTTCCTGCCGGCCCACCGCGTGACGCCTAACCAGTAACTCCACTTTATTTTCCATTTAAGTAGAACAGACCCCCCCCCCCGGTTTCCAAAGTGGGAGATGCATTTTTCCCAAGTACCCGAGTCTATAAAGGGTTCCACTGTGAGAAGGGAACATATTTAAACAGCTATTTTTTATTTCTTGGGTAATGGCCTTAAATCCATCCTCTAAGTGTAACGCTGCCCCCCCCCCCCAATCCGCAGAACGGCTTCTGGCAGGCCGCAGCTTCTGCCTGCAGGCCCCCCCTTCCCGGCTCGCTGGGCGCCTAAGTCTCACGTCATTCCCCCCAAAAACACAGCTGGCCAAAGGGGGCTCTTGGGGATTGACGTGTGGTCTTTCCCAAGCGTCCGGTTCTGCTTCAGCTCATAGCCCTGCGATGAGACCCAGGCAGCTGCCGGCTGCGCAGTTTCCCTGGTTCCCTGTAAACACCTCAGTCCCCCTGGTTCTCACAGAGATCGTCATATTTTGTTAAGTTTTATTATGTGGGATTAAATCCTGCAGTCACTGTGGCACTCCAGTGGCGAGATCTCCACGGAAACATGGAAATAGATCACAGCGTGTTGAGACACTTCGCCTGCTTTGATGCATGTGACCCGCATCCCCTTGTTTCTATGGCAGCTTTCAGTAGAGCATCGAGATTAAGATTCATTACTTCTAAACATTGTTCATAAACTGTCTTCAGACTTTTCCGGTATATTTCTGGAGGGTCGTAATGGTGATAAGGGCCAGTCTCTTTTTCTTTACATTTTTAAAATAATTGTTTTCATTATAACATTGTAGGGTATTAAGAAGTGTGCTCCTAAAATAAAGATCCGCTTTCATGCGGTAGCGACATTTTTATGGGGGACTAAGAGTGAGGTGTTTCCAAATGAATTATGCCACCAAAGCAGACGTCAGAACAGAAAACACATGGGTCTCTGTTATTAAGGCAGAATCGTTGGTGCTGTGATATTCACTGCAGACTGGCTGTTAACTGAAATCTGAAATGGCATTTTATTCAAATGCAGCCTTAGGCATAAACGCACTGTGTAGAAATTAATTTCATTATGCTTGTCTGGTTGTTTCTTTCTTAGGTAAAAAAATGATAAATACCAGAAGCTTTGCATTAAGCATCCGTAGTAATTGTTTCTCTTTTTTTTTTGCTTGGTTACAGTGGTCCTGCAGGCTTGTGCACTGGTCCTCTACCCCATCAAGTTCATCGATGGGAAGGTCCTTCAAACCTACCATGAGTTTAACTGGGGCTACGGCCTGGGTTGGGGCGCTACCATCTTCATGCTGGGGGGTGGGATACTGTTCTGCCTACGCACAGACCTGTATGAGGACGCCCTCTACTGACAGCACGCGGAACGCAGGATGCCAACAGACTGTGGACCTGTCGGCGCGTAGGCGGGCCAGAGGCCGAGACGAACAGCTGCTCAGAGAGTACCAACACCATCGGCACGAGCCCAGAAGCGTCTAAGGATGGAAGCACCGCCCGCGAGTGATAATTTCATTCTCCGTCAAACGGAACTTTCTAGTGCTTAGAAGTAAAGGGCAAAACTTGTCAGTTATTCGATTTTTTTACTTCATTTAAATATTCATTGAATGTGGCGATATCAAAACTACTAAATGCATTTTTAAAGTAATTATTTTTAAATAATACCATATTGCTTCCCTCAACTATGTATTACATTCATGCATATTTTCTCGGTTTATATTAAAAAAAAAATCTGAACTATATGTACATAGCAAAAAAAATTCAATTTATTGTATAGTGGGAAAGAAATGGGGGAACCTGTCTTAACAGTGGAATGACTGACTGCCAAAATGCTGTTTCTGTAGTTATGACAAAATGAAGGGAGTTGGCTTAGAATTTCCACCCCTGCTATAGGTACCATTCAGATATTGTGATTGTCCCAATGCATGTTACATGCATATGCAGCTCTTAATAGTTTACCAACGTTCGCTGTTGCCGAAATTATGCTCTCGAAAATAAGATGAGCATTTTGAAATATAAATCAGTAGCTGTCTTTCTGTGCATCATTGATGTTTGATATATGGGACGACGCGGAGGTGCAGTGATTCGCACTGTTGTATCCCACATCTGGGACCAGGGTTTGAGTCTCTGCTATGGCTCCATGTGTGTGGAGTCTGCATGTTGTTGTGGGATTTTCTCCAGGTACCTCCGTTTCCCACCCCCCATCCAAAAACATGCCAAGTTTAATTGCCGTTACCAAATCGCCCATAGATGTGAATGGTGCGTGTGCCCTGCAAGGGGTTGGTGCCCCATCCTGAGTTGTTCCCTGCCTTGTGCTTTTAGCCCCCAGGATACTTTCCAGACCCCCCATGACCCTGAAAAGGACAACCAGTTACAGAACATGGAAGTGAAATGTTTGATGAATGATTTGAAGTACACTTGCAGTATATTTCCTGCCATTTGAAGTACACTTGCAGTATATTTCCTGCCATCCATAGTACAGCAGGCGGTGCAGGGCTGTTAACGTAATGTGATGTAGCAGCAGGAGTGTGTGCTGCAGTGATATTCACCAGACACTTATCCTGAATTATAATTATATACCAAAAATCAGAACCATTTGCTATTACAGCATCAGCAAAGTAAGTAAATGAGCTGTAATTTACTTAAAATTCATGATTTGCAGTAGTTTATGGTTAATGTGGCCCTATTTTTGTCAAACTGCTGAACTGTGGATGGATTCCTGTATATTGAATGATTTAAGTGTGCATGTTTTAACGATGAATTTAAAGCAGAGGGGAAATTCTGCGTGGGCATAGTTGACTTGCAGGTTGCTCGGCGTAACAAAGCTGAGACTGTGTCCAGTCAGGAGGTCTCCTCACGAAGGCCACCCAAGTGCAGGACTGTCTACGCTTCCGTAGCATTTGTGGCATCGCAAGACACTGCACTGCCATCCGGGTCAACGGGAGAAGAGCCACCAAACATCCGTGACCGACGCTGGTTTCTGATTTGCGTGCTCAGGTCTGGAATGTGATTGAGGTACTGAACATTTCATAAATCATAAAAGTGAGAGGTTTGGTTACCGCAAGACTGGACATCATTTTTATACTTATATAAATCCTGATTTTGTCCCCCCTAATAACAATGACTTATTATGTGGTGGGTTAAGGTTTAGTAAGGTTAAGGTTCACCGTGAGTTTAGACATTCCTTGCACATTTGTACAACAGCACATACTTGGACTGTCCTGCATGTTATACAATAAATGTTACTAGTCTGTTGTACCGAAATAGCTTTGTTATTTCTTACTCAAAAGTCCTTGGTGGTCTTCAGTGAAACGTCTGAACGGTTGGCCTCCAGGAAGCAAAGAAGACAGAACAACACCTCAGAGGGTAGCATCACCTCATCTGCAACGAGGAGGGTTCAAATGCAGCCCCAATGGAGTCTGCATGTTCTCCTTGAGTTGAGGATGCATTTCCTCTGTTCCACTCTCCTTCCAGAGACATGCTCTTCAGATAAATTGGTGACTCTGCATTGTCCTTAGTGTGTGTGTGTCTAGTGATAGAGGACGTCCCCGTCGAAGTTTACCTTGGCCGTTCTCCTTCCTGGGATAGTCAGGTTCACTGCATAAACAGTTACTAAAAATGGAAAGACAGAAACATGACAATGGCATTTTGCTTATAGAGCAAGGCGACTGAAGACCCATATATTATAAGACATTGTTCTACACTCCCTGCTAATCTGAATATAGTTTCTGAGTAATTATGGGTAATTAGGATCGGCATGAGAATACAGTGTTTTTGTTAGATTAATCTACTGTAGCAACTGTGACATCACCCTTCTCTCTTCAAGATTGCTGCTAGTTCTACAGTAATAGCATTTCCAACCTGTCTGTATCAGCCTGTAAGTTAGGCAAAGTTTTTTTTAAATCAAGTGATTAAAAATGGGTACCCATCTGTCTAAATGGCCTGAGTGCAAAAGCATAAGGCACTCTTGATGCCCCTTTTACACAGCACAGTAAGATATGAAATTGTTTCCCCACCTCGAATTGTGGCAGTGGACATATTTGGCTTTATTTGATTATAAAGTGCTATCACTTGTCAGGGACTGACAGCTTTATTCCCTCTACCTTAGTCACCAAGCTGGTCCATTTTATGAGAGATAAATCAGCATTTCTGGCCTCCACAGAAGCAGGTTTAGGGAATTACGGTGACACTTCGCGTTCACGCATGAGCCCTTGTGTGTAATTGTGTCACGCAGCTGTTTGCCAATGCACAGATGGCTCGAATCAATACATTTCTATTTTAAGAAGCATGTATTCTGGGAATCTAGAGTATCTCTCCACGGAGGCTTTTTAGCATGAGATGCCAAGGGCAGGCTAGTGTTGTTTTATCAGAACACAGGGCCCCAAAGGAGATACTGTGTGCTGTGGTCCAGGAACCATATCTACTACACCAATGAGCCTACAGAAAATGCTTGTGGAATGAAGAACTTGTGGAAGCCTGGTTCTTCTCCATTGATCCAAGTGCAAAGAATCCTGGCATTGTTGTTTAATGGCTGGACATGTGCTACAGCATTTAAAAAATATGTAATAAAAAGCAGGCGGGTTTGTTTTGTTTTACTCAAATACTTTAGAAATTTCTTCTGAAACAGTAACATAACTTCTGCTAAACCCTTACATTATGCTTTGCTGATATTCTTTTGTTTGATGAAAGTCCTCGTTCCTGTATCACGCCCTGTCTTAACATAGAAATCATTTTACAAAAGAGAATCTCTTCCTGTTTCATGGTGGGGCATTTTCATGAAAGTTTTGATATTTTTAATGGATTAAATTACTACATTCTTCGGCATATAATACAATGCATCCCCGCTTTCCGATTAACAAACCATGAGCAGTGCAGCAGAATCAAACCCTTGTTTGAATATATTCCGCATGGTAAGATCCAACCTGTTGAAGAGCATGGTTCAAAGCTAAGTGACATCATAAGGATGTGTCTCAGACAATGGCATAGGAGGGACACAACTTAATACTTTAAATACAATGGCTGCTTTTTGGGGTGGGGGGTGAATGAAGTCAAAACCCGCCTTGATCGGGATCTAATTTTCCATACTGTCATACCATCCAGATATTAGGCCTATATCATGGTTCTCAGTTTTTTGATGGTATTTTCAAAAGCAATGCGTCACAGCGCCCCTCTCACACCCTGTCTTAACTGCCCCCCCCCCATCGTGCCCCCGATACTGTGCCTTCAGTACCAGCCAAAGCCCACATGACGGCCTAGGAAAGCTCCCTCCATCACCAGCCTCCTGGACAAAGTGAAATTGCGTCGCTATATCAGCTACCCGTCTGAAGATGGTGCCACTGATGTCACCTCATGGGTCTCCCAGCAATGGTGCCATTTGTCATTGTTCAAAGATTAAACGGTGTGACTAAACAAATACATCATTCATTTTCTACTTTATGTGCATTTCATAACAGGGGTAAGGTCAGGATCGAATATGCAGGAGAATTCCGGTGAGTATGACCTGCCCTCAGGTTTCTTTCAGATCAGATAAAAGGCAAAACACAAGTCAAAATACCCACTAAAGAAACAGGGATTTCGCAATTCTTTCTTATCACCTTCGGCTGAAGAGCATTGTTTGGGATATAAAAGACTGCAGTGGTGGTCAAGCTCAGATTTTCAGATTTTATTTCTTGTCTATCACAGACTAAAGAGGCGACAAGCTAATTAAAGTATTTCCTCACCAAGCACATTCTGTGTCGTATTTGAGCACGAAGTAAAATTTGCTAAATTCTTGCAGCATATTGCTAGAATTTAGAGATCAGTGGTCATTGTTGACACAACACCGAAATGCATCCTCCGCATTTAACACATATGTGACAAAGCAGGGGATAGCTAGTTCGGCGCCTGGGGGCAGTAGCTTGCTCAGGGTACCTTAGTGACGTCTTGGTGGTTAGGGATTTGAACCAGCAATCCTTCAATTATAAGTGCGCTTCCCTAACCGTTAAGCTACCAATGCCCTCAGTCACCACTGCCCTTGCTATGACTTGGTCATCAGATTAAAAAAAAGATATTTGGATATAAAAATAGCCTTGAATCAACATATGTCTTTCCGGTAAATTTGATTTCTTGCTCCCTCTAGTGGAAAACCGCGGTATTTATGTTTGGCGCAATAGGCAAAGCCAATCAGCTAATAAGATGCTGCATCTTTGACGTAAGAGACTGTTTTCCGGTAGTTTATTCGTAGTTAAACGTAACATGTAATAGAAAACTGGATGCTAAACTAAAAATCCTTTATTTTGCAGATAAGCTAACCAAATTATTTCCCGACCTAGTGTTATTGTGTCAATTTAGTATTTTTTAGTGTACAGTATTACAACCATAATTACAGCCTAATCGAATTTGTGCTTTTACTGGGAGGCGCGCTTGATAAAATCGAGCCTGTTGGATGGAGTCAAGCAAAGATGAATATTTTCACTTTAAGAATTTAATGCGTGGACGGGTGCAGGAGACATAAGGAACAGCTGATGGGAATCAAATTTGTTTATAGGCAGTGTCATTTTAACAGCTGTTCCCAGAATAGAGCCATGTACGTCTGATTGCTGAAAGACAGTTTAGGTGTCTTAAGTAGCTGCGATGGGCATGCGGATGTCAGCAAAGACAAGTCAGCACATCAACAATGTACCCTAAAGCTATTTGCTCTGTACTTCTCATATTGTAATATAATCGATACGGGTGGTTATTACTGGGTTTGACTCCATCCCTAGTGTGTGTGTGTGTGTGTGTGTGTGTGTGTGGATTTAACACATTCATCCTTTGATTGTGAGGGTTTCCTCTCAAATTTGTTGAAAAATGATCATCTGCAAAAATGATCATGGAGGATCCAAAAGTGCAAGGCCTATTTTGAATCTCAGTCCATCCATGGTTTTCCCTTATAAGTTAAGCAAATTGGCCTGTCTGTGCTTTATGGTCAATCCTATAGATGCCTCCAACTTCTGTGGGGGGCTGACTGAGCCAGTCGATTTCAATTGCAAGTGACACACACCGTCTGAGACAAGGGGTGTTTCTCAATATGCGCACTTGACCGTACTTGTGTTCTGGTGTCCCTGTTGTGCATCATCTTCCATTGCCAAAGACCAGTTCCAATACTTAGAACAGAAGTACAGAGGATGGTAAACATCCCTGGATGTCGTTCTTGCCCAGCCCCAGATATCAAGGATACATCTGTCGCATCCTTGCCAAACAAGACCAATCCCATGATTCATTGCACCCCAAGTTCATTCTTGGGAGGCAAGTTAGCAAGACCGGTCTTAGTTGCCAAGACCACAAGTACAATCTTTGTGTCTTTGGTACAGAGAAATACCAAAAGTGGAAATGGCTCCCTGCATCAGAGTCACTACAAGACTTCATGCCATCTGAAGTGCCGACACAGAGCAGTTATGTGATATGGGGAATCTCTAGAAGTACTAGCGCCCTCTGCAGTGCTGCCACTGAACAACTACTAGATGTACGGCTCTCCTAGAAGTTCTAGCGCCCTCTGCTGTGCTGGCACAAAACGGGTACTTGGTGTAGGGCACCCGTAGAACTACTCGCACCCTCTGTTGTGTAGCACAGAACAGCTACGTAATGTGGGGTGCCGACCTCTGAAGTGACGCCGACTTAAGTTGCCAGCCAAGTTCACTTTGTCTCACGTGGGGAGGCACTGTGCTGTCATGATGTGAGGGCAGGGGAACGGTGTCAAGAATGTGTCAAGAACAAAACACTGTAAGTGAGCTGGCTACAGAAACATTTTAGATTGAGCAAATCTTATTAATAGAGCCATCAAATCATTAACTGGTGGTGATGCTATCTGGCCCTGCCTTTATGTGTGAGTGCGTGACCTGCAACTAAATGGTATCCCAATCCTGGGCTCTCCTGCCTTGTGACATATGCTTCCTTTGACACGTTCACCACATCCTGCCTTTGGGCTGAGCGCTTATGGGATATAGATGGTAACAATAACTGGAAACGTGGTATTTGAGAGACTAATGACGTCACCTGATGACACTTGGAATAAATAGCCATGTAAATTGATACCGTGCCCCATTTCAAAGCAAGTTATGGGTATTTGCTGAGAACTTGTGATTTTCAGTCAATCATAAATATCCATAACGTTTAGCAGATTTAAGAAACACTGTACCAGTTTGGGGGATAAATGGTTAAATCTTAAAATAAATATAATCTTAAAAATAACATGTAAATAAGTACAGCAGAACAGTTGCGGAGTAAATTTCTTGGTTTATGAAGAA